ATCCGCTTCGATTCTGATATTCCGACGGTATGATTCGGCCCGATGTTTGCATGGCCCTGTCGGCGTTGTTGCTGCATTCGCGCACGCACGCACGCACGCAACACACACACACACACACACACACACACACACACACACGACTTCGTTCCTTGTACCCGTCGTCGTTTTCGCTGTTTGTTTGTGTCTTCCTTCTCCCGTGCCTTCTCCTTTTCTTGGTCGTTCTCACCATTTCTTGACCATTCCTCGTCCTTCTTTCAGTTCGTGTCCCAGAGGATCCTCCCCTCCGTTGGCGGGAGGTCTTGGGGGTCTCTCGAAGGTTCCTTGGGGGCTTCTTGGGGGCCTCTGGAGGCCTCCTGAAAGCTTTTTGGGGCCTGCGGAGACTTCCAGGGCCCGTCCTGTCGCCAACCGCAGTTTCCCTCAACGACCCGTCCCGATCTGGAGTGTTTGGGGGGGCATCTTCGGCCGTGTTGGGGCTTATTGGGGCCGCCTAGGGGCCATCTTGTAATAATTTTAGGTGATTGTTGTGTCGTCTTGAGGTTTTCTTGGGCCATCTTGAGGCCTTTTGGGTTAGTCTTGGGCCGATCTTGGTGGCCTATTGGTCAGTCTCGGACGCCCAGAACACCGCAGATGCGAGAATCCCAACGTCCTACAAAAACCGAGTTGGTAATCGTGATCCGTGCGTTTAGAGGGCCTCTTGGAGGTCTTATTTGGGTCGTCTTTGGGCGCCTCGAGGGAATCTGGGGTCGCTTGGAGTTCTCGTGGGGCAGTTTAGGCGCCCTTCTTTCCGCTTTAGAGTCGGCCTCCAGGCCAAGCTCGGCAGGCTGAGGGAACGCTTTGCAGGGGCGTCTGGTAAGTCCAGGGTGGCTCGCAGGTAGCGCGGATACCAGGGGTCAAGTTTTGCGGGCCCGGGGTCCCATAATAATAGGAAGTGGCGTCTCCGTGTTGTTCACCTCTTGAGGGGCCCCTACAGCCTTAAGAATGTTTTTCCTAACGCGTCACCGCTGCCCCGAGAACATTCGCAAGACAAATGTATGAGTTTGCGCCCCAGACACATACATGCTGTTGCGCCCCAGCCGCATACATCCTGGTGCGGCCCAGCCATAAATCGATCGCTTTTGAAGAAGGCACGGAGATGCCCCAAAAGTGGGGGGGCCGCGCACGAGCTAGGAAAAAACAATAACTCAAAAACACATAGGACTAAAATTGCCCATTTGGGGGTAGCGCCCCCCCGCCCCCGGAAAATTCGAATTACAGGACCACCTGTGGGGGAGTACTTTTGGGTCACCCACTCCTCATTTCATATTATAAAGGAGAGTGGATGGAACCTGATTCGGGGCGGTTCGCTTGAGAAGTCCTCAGAATGTGCCTGGTCTTGCCCCTGGTTTGGTTAGATTTGGCCCCGCGCCCCACCTGAGACGTTCTCGACATATGCCTGGTTAGGTCCCTGGTTCGGCGCGGTTTGGGGCCGAGTTCGCTTGAGACGTCCTCGCAATTTGCTTGGTTTGGTTTGGTTTGGTTTGGTTTGGTTTGGTGTCGGCGCGGTTTTGCTTGAGACGTCTTCACAATTTGCCTGGTTTGGCTTGGTTTCGGCGCGGTTTCACTTGAGACGTTTTCACAAACCCAGATCGTCGCGAGTTGTGCGGAGTAAGCTATGTGGTGGAAAGCATGTGGTGGAAGCTATGTTGTTCAAGCTACCCACATCGTCGCAAGCTATACGGTGAAATCCACGTGGTGCAAAGTATATCGTGGAATCTGTGCGGTGCGAACTAGGTGGGGCAAGCCCACATCTTCTCGCGGCGTTGGCCCAGCGTCCGGCGTTAGGAGAAAACTCTCCCGAGCCTGTAGAGGGTCTATTGGGGTGTTCTATCGGCATCTCTAAGTCTTCTCGACAGCCTATGGATTATTGCTGCGAAATCTAGATATGCCCTGCCAGACTGCACCTGGCATCATACCACGGCACGACGTGCTGGGAGCACGGTAACGGATCTGCGACTCCATCGACGCCGTCGTGGTTGGCGCGTGGTACGGCCGTGGTAAACGAGGAGGTCTGTTCGGATCCTTCCTGCTGGCCGTGCCTGGAGACGAGGGCGAGATGCAGACCTTGTGTCGCGTAGGCACCGGCCTGACCCTGGCCCAGCTGAGGAAGTTCCACTCTGATTTTGCCGACGCGGCCCGGGACGAGGCCCCCCCTGGCTGGGAGAAGTTGCCGCGGGCATCACGGCCGGACAAGTGGATTGAGGGCGGGCCCGTTTGGGAGCTCCGCGGAGCAGACCTGACGGTCTCGTCAATTCATTCCTGCGCCAGCGGCCTGCTGCGGGCCCGCGAAGCTGGGGGCCCGCCGGGAGGACGAGGCCCCCAGAAAGGGTTGGGCTTGCGCTTCCCGCGGGTGGTGCGCGTGCGCGACCCCGCGGACAAGGACGTGTCGGAGGCCACGACTGCGAGGGAGGTGCTGCGCCTCTTTCGGCTGCAGGCTGGCACCTACGATGCCGCGGAGGAGTGATCCACACAGCACAGGACTCTGCAGCACAGCTCGGCCTGGTAGTCGGCATCGTGCCGCCTGCCTCATGCAAGGCATGGTGAACGGATCGTTGAACGTGGCTGTGGATTGGGGTCCAGCCACCAGGCGTTTGCACCGCCAGGCTGATTGCTGCGGCGGGGGCAAAGCGGTGAAGTCAGCTCGTCGAGGGGCCCAACCCTTGCAGCTTCGTGCAACGTTGGCGATGAACCTCTATGCACGATTCTTGTGTCAGCGAGCGTGTTCTGCTACTCACAAAGTGCCTACTCGCAAACGTCTGGGAAAACACGTGTGCGTTTCGATGTGATGTATCACACAATGCCCATGGCGGATCCAGACCATTTGCGAGTGGTTATTGTGCGAGAAGTGGAACGCGCTTGTCTAGTGTGAGTGATGCGCCGACATGTGAGGGGGGCGTGCAATTTGTCCCGCTGGGGCCGTAGGTGGAGCGCCTCATGGGGCACGGATCGTAAGAGGGTTGTGCCGAAATTTGCGGGGGGGAGGGGGAGGGGGGGCGCGTTCGAAATTTGCCTCTAGGGCCGCAGGTGGAGCTCCCTGTGGGGCCACGATCTTTGTGAGGGGTGTCCCGAAGTGGGCTTACATCCGCCATGCAGACTTTTCCATTGGGGGCTCTGTTGGAGCCCCCTCTGAGGCCACAATCCTCGTGGGAGTGTGCCGAAATAGGTGGGGGGGCGCATGTGGACGCATCCACCAGGGCCGTAGGGGGAGCTCACTATGGGGCCACGAAACGTGTGAGGGGTGTGCTGAAATTGGCTGGGAGACAGCATGCGGCCGCACCCCCTGGGGACTTCGGTGGAGTACCGAAACGGGCTGGGAACCGCATGCGGCCACACCCCTTGGGGGAGCTTCGGTGAGGCCCCTTTTCCGGCCACGAAACGTGTGAGGGGTGCGCCGAAATGGGTTGGGAGACTGCATGCGGCCACATCCCCGGTGTGCTCTGGTGGGGCTCCTTGTGGGGCCACGAAGCGTGTGAGGTGCGTGCCGAAGTGGACGGGGGACCCGCATGCGGCCACACCCCCTGGAAGCTGGGGCCACGAAACGTGTGAGGGTGTGCCGACAGTGGCTGGGGAACCGCATACCTCCACACCCTCTGGGGGCTTCGCTGGAGCTCCGTATGGGACTACGAAACGTGTAAGGGGTGTACCAAAATAAGCGGTGGGGGCGCATTCTGACGCATCCACCAGGACCGTAGGGGGAGTTCCTCATGGGGCACGAAACGTGTGAGGAGTGTGCCCAGATGGGCTGGGGAACCGCATGCGGCCACACCCCGTGGGCGCTTCGGTCGAATTATTTCTGGGGCCACGAAACGTGTGAGGGGTGTGCTGAAATGGCCTGGGCGACCACATGCGGCCACACCCTCTGGGAGCTCCTCTGGAGCTCCCTGTGGAGCCACGAAACGTGTGAGGGGTGTGCTGAAATTTGCTGGGGAACCGCATGCGGCCACACCCCGTGGGGGCTTCGGTGGAGCTCCCTAGGGGACTACGAAACGTTTGAGGGGCGTGCCGACATGGGCGCTGGGAGACCACATGCGGCCACAACCCGGTGTGAACTCCTTATGGGGCCACGAGACGTGCAGTGCGAGGGGCCTGCCCGAATTGGGAGAAGCGACCCCGTGCGGCCGCACTCCTTGGGGGGCTGGGGCCACGAAAAGTGCAAGGGATGTGCTCAAATTGGCTGGGAAACCACATGCGGCCACACCCCCTGGAGGCTTCGGCAGAGCGGAAAGCTCCCGCTGGGGCCACGAAACGCGTGAGGGGTGCGCTGACATGGACTGGAAAGCCGCATGCGGCCACGTCCCCTGGGGGCTCCAGTGGAGCTGCCTATGGGGCCACGAGGCGCGTGAGGGTGTGCCGACAGGGGGCACGAGGAGGGCAGAGGCCGGAGGAGGGAGCAGCGGGAGGTGGGAGCGAGGCGCGGGGCGCTGCGGAGTCAAAACGAGGACCCAACACCATGGGATGGTTGGGAAAAGCACGAGGAGGCACTTAGCAGCACAACCGCGGTGAGCGTCTTTGAAGCTGGGGGTGTGGGAGCGAAGTGATCCCAACCAGGAACACAGCGTCGGTTTCGGTCCGTGCCGCGCGTGCGGGCGAGGCGAAGTTGCGTCAACGCGGCGATGCGTCGGCGCAGCCAGAGCCAAGTCGGGCAACAAGTTTCTGCCCAGATTGCGTGGTAGCCCGCCGTGGTTGTCCCACAGTTGTGCCGCGATTTTCTTGTGGGTTATCCCTTCGTTGTCTTGTGGGTTGTCCCGTTGTTGTCCCGCGGGCTGTGTCGTGGTTGCCTCGTGGGAGCTGCACATCGAAATTCGAGTCCGCTTGCAGCCATCTGCAGATCGAAAATTACCGATACATGTATACACATTGAACTACACATCGAAAGTAAAATAAACATGTAAATTGAAGTGCATATGTATACATGGTGTATGTTTGAATTGGGATACATATCGAAATGCGGATCCAATTGCAATCGAAACTCAAATCGGTAATTGGAAATACAGAAGTGCACATCGGAATGAACATCGACATGCACATCGAGCTGCATTTCGATCTGGAAAAAAACGGGAATCGGCGTTAGGTCGAAACACATCTTGAGATTAGGAGTTGCAATGATCGGTCGGCAAATAACCGAGATTCGACAGATACGTGTGTACGTTGGTCGATCGGCAGATCGTGAGAATGAAAGATAGTAAGATCGGTAGATGGATAGTGAGGTCGACGGGGTCGTGAGATCAAGAGATAGACAGCGAGACCGAAAGATAGTGAGATCGGCGGGTAAGTAGTGAGATCAGTTAATACGAGGTCGAGAAATCGATGTATTCCGGATCCGATCGGACGCCAATCGAAAACCGGCATGAACCTGGCGCGACCCCAATTAGGGGAAATGTTCTTATTGCATGGGCGCAATGTTTGGCATTGTTTGGCATTGCTTGGCATTGCTTTGCATTGCTTCGCATTGCTCGGCATTTCATGGCATTGCTTCACATTGCTCGGTATTTGCTTGGCATCCTTGGCATTGCTGCGCCTTGCTTCGCGTTTCGCATGGTGTGACATTGCTTGGCATTGCGTCGCATTGCTTGGCATTGCTTGGCATTACTTGGCATTGCTTCGCCTTGCTTCGCATTGCTTCGCAATGCTTTGCATGTTGTGGCATTGCTTGGCATTGCTTGACATCGCATGGCAGTGCTTGGCGTTGCTTGACTGGGCAACCTGGGGAACCCGAGGAACCCGAGGAACCCGAGGAACACGAGAAACCCCGAGGAACCCGAGGAGCCCGAGGACCCCGAGGAACTTCCGAGAAACGGTCAAAGTATCGATAGGAACCATAAACCTTTAACCAAGTAAGAACTGTTTGGCATTGCTTGGCATTGCTTGACCGAGGAACCCGAGGAACCCAGGGAACCCGACGAACCCGAGGACCCCGAGGAAACTCCGAGGAACGGGCAAAGTAGCCTCCTGAGGCACCAACTTGCAACCAAGGAAGAACCCCTCGGGCAAGCCGAATTGGGGAAATATGGGGCACCAGGGGCGAGGAACCCGAGGAACCTGGGGAACCTCCGAGGGACGGGCAACGTAACAATCGGAGGTCCCGAGGGCGAGGAACTTGGGGAGCTCGAGGAACCCGGGGAACTTCCGAGGAACGGGCAAAGTAGGCTCCCGAGGCACCAACCTTCAACCAAGCAAGAACCCCTTGGGCAAGCCTAGTTGGGGAATTTGCGTTCTTGCATCCCCCCAACCTCCTCATCACCCGAAGGGTGGTCTGTAAGGTACAGTCGGGGCGCTGAAGAAGAAACTCTTTTCGTCTGGGACGGGCTCAGTGTTCCTTAGTTGTTTTACAGTTCGCCTCAGGTTTTACTTAGGTTTTCGATGGAAGTCAAAGTTCAACTTATGGAAGAAAGGGGCCTCGTTCCTTACAGTCGACCCAGATTAGTAGGTCGACCCTGCCAAATCAAGGGTACCCTTGTGTCCTGTGTCTCGCGACCCATGCCTCCTGCATTCCTGTGGCAGTGTGGCCCTCGGAAGGGTCTTGTGCCCTCTCGCGTGTCCTGCCCAACGAAGTCCGACTGCATTCAGGACTCCTCAGGTCAACGCCCCGACTGTCTTTTCGCGCGGCCTGGGAAGCACGTCTCGATCGATGAAGCCTCCACTGGCCACTGATGAAGCTGGGCCGTTTTCGGAACCACCTGCGCTGCCCGCAGCGCTCTCGCACCCGTGGGTGCGTAAACTCGCCCAGGAGGAGCGAGGAGGAGGAGGAGGAGGAGGAGGAGGAGGAGGAGGAGGAGCGAGGAGGAGCGAGGAGGAGCGAGGAGCGCGGAGGAGGAGGAGGGGAGCGAGAAGGAGCGAGGAGGAGGAGCGTAGAGGAGCGAGGAGGAGGAGGGGAGGCTGGAGAGGACGAGGCCAGGTAGGCCCAGGATGAGACTGGACCGTTCCAGATTCCATCGCGCTCCGGAGCGCCCACGGCGTTCCAGAGCTCACCTGCAAGGCCGCGGCGCCGGACACACCCTCCAGGTCACCCCGCCAACAGAGGTCTCCGAGTCTGCTCGCACGCGCACGATCCTGCGGACAGCACAACCCACCCCCACCCCCGCCAGGATCCCAACCCCCGACCTAGTGATCCACAGGATTCCGAACCCCCAAAACCGCCTTCCCCTGGTTTTCCTCCGTTCCACTCCTCCGCTTCCTCCTGGGAGTCCCCAGAGGCCCGCAAGGGGGCCAGAAGCGCTCGAGAACCTCGCGTTGTTCTCGATGTTCGCACCTCGAGCCTCGAGATATGGAAAGCTAAGGCGAGGAGGGGAGAGGGGGGGACGGACCGCAGCCAAGACGCTGAATCAAGGACCACCTTGGGTTCAAGAGGGGCTCTGGTTTTCGGGCACTTCCTCGGATCCAGGTCAGGAAGCCAGGTCGTGGCCGAGGACCAGCGTGGCCAGAAGTGCCCCCCCGCCCGTCCTCCGGCGATCCTCGACTCTCGGC